ACAACTTTAAAGGTGATTTTCTCAATATTTAGATTTTTTTTTTACACCCTCAGATTCTCATTTATTCAGCTTTCAGATGATGCATAAATCTCAATTTCAAAACATTGACCCTTATGACTGGTTTTATGGTCCAGGGTCACATATATCAATACCTTGGCTACCACCTTAGCATCCTGAAGCCAACTTTTGCATAGGAAAGCAGCTTGCATGTTTTTTTGAAACTCTTACAAGGTTTAATTACTACGGACAGGCCCTAACCTCAATGATATATGTGACCCTGGACCACAAAACCAGTCATAAGTGTATAAATAAGCTTTCCATTGATGTATGGTTTGTTAGGATAGGACAATATTTGGCCGAGATACAACTATTTGAAAATCTGAAATCTGAGGGTGCAAAAACAAAATCAAAATATTAAGAAAATCGCCTTTAAAGTTGTCCAAATTAAGTTCTTAGCAATGCATATTACTAATCAAAAATTAAGTTTTAATATATTTACGGTAAGAAATTTACAAAATATCTTCATGGAACATGATCTTTACTTAATATCCAAATGATTTTTGGCATAAAAGAAAAATCAATAATTTTGACCCATACAATGTATTTTTGGCTATTGCTACAAATATACCCGTGCTACTTAAGACTGGTTTTGTGCTCCAGGGTCACATATATGTGATATGTTTTCAGACAGTTGGTCTATATATGTTTGTTTCCAGGCGTACCACGGTCACGCACAGGCTCTAGAAGTGCTCTTGGAGGGTCACTGCGAGGTGGATCAGGGGGATGAGGTGGGTCGGACTCCACTAATGCTTGCTGCCCTTAGGGGCCACACTGACTGCGCTCTCACGCTTCTGAACCATGGGGCCTCGTTGAGAAGCAAAGATACTATCCGTGGACGTACACCGATCCACCTTGCAGGTATTACACCTCTGTGTGGTGGAAATTACACAGCTGTGCATTTTTTTATGCAGTATTTAATACACTCAAGTTTGTTTCCAGTAATGAATGGTCATACATCGTGCGTGCGCCTCCTGCTGGAAGACTCTGATAATGCAGATCTGGTAGATACAGCGGACTCTCAGGGACAGTGAGTAGTTCATTTAATAACTTTTTTTCTTTCTTTATAATGCCACAAGGATTTTGGGGTGGAATGAGTGTGTCATGTCTTTTTACCTCTCAAATAGTAGTTATCTTAGTCAAATAAAACAAAACAAATTTGACTAAAACTGTTACCCATAAAAAACTGCTGACTACATTTAATTTTTTATTTATTTTTATTATTACTATGCAACTAATGCATTTTAAAATGCATATAATTAATTTTCTACAATAAATAAATGTTGAGGAGCTCAATTAGTATGCCATAATCAAACATGAACATGTCATATGAATACTAAAAATAAAATCAACTCCCTAATTTATATAATATTAATTTTGCCCAAGCTACGAATTGTGAACAAATCAACCAATTTATCAAAAAGAACCAGTTTAAAAGAATTATTTGTTCACTAATTGGACTGATCAAGACTTGTTCTGGACCCAGCAGCCAACAGCTCACTGAAGGGAAGTTTATCAGTGAATAATGACTTAAATTTTAGTCTGTTCGTCACACAAAACAATTATGTTGCTTCAAAAGACTTCTCCTTTTGTGTCCCATGAACAGAAAAACAGCAGCGGTTTGAAGTAATGTGAGAGCAAGTAAATAATGACAGAATTGTGAGTTTGGGGTTAACTATATATTTAAAAATGAATCTAGGACTATAATTAACGTTCCCTGTCTTCTTTTTTCTTTCCTTCTGAAATTCTTTTAATCATTTGCACTGGTTGAATATCAATCCTTTATTTAAACCGATTTCTAAACATGCTTTTGGGGGATGTTAGCAAGAGTGTTTCTTTGCTTTCCATTTTGATTCTATTTTGCTTCAAAAGATAAAGAGCTTTCAGTGAAGATGGTGTTTTAATATCTTGCCGGTCAGAAACTTTCCAAAACAAATTCAAAATGAAAATGTAAATGTAAACCACCATTTGTCTGTTTGCCTTTGTCCACAATGTGCCAGTTTCTCCACCGTGTCCAGTGCCTTGTTCTGCATGTTCAGACTGTGTTAGATTACATCAGTATATGTCTGTATGTATGTATTAGAGTGTAATGAATGTCTGAAGATGTGAAGATAAGTCTGGGTCACACCTGCCAATCGCAAGCCAATGTTTTTCACCAAGTCCTGATGTTTGTGCCTATGAGTGTGTGATTTACAATAGAAAACAGTCTTTGTACATATCAGCTCATGGACATTATCATCACCAGAGCAAAAATTGCACACAACTGTCTTATAACGGAAGCACATGGTTGATTTCTTTTCATAAATTAGATGGATTGTGAGTGAAAGGACGCAGAAGAATGAGTCAAACAGTATTATAACAGGGAAAAAAAAGCTTTGAAATGTGTGACAATCTAGATTATGGTTTCCTCCTTTATTCCAATGTTGAAGGTTCTTTGTCAGCTCAAGTTTCTTTTATAAAAATTGTATGACTATTATATAAAATGTCTTAACAGAGTTTTGTGTAGTCTGTTTTCTTATCCATTTGAAAATCCATTTAGGCTATTACAAAAATGAAAAGTGCAGGCCTGTTTTCATCAAAAGTTGTATGTTAAATTTAATTTTAATCATTATGTTGATTTCATTTAGTGAATGGACTCTCACGTATTGATACTGTATGTACAAAAAAAAGAAGAAAAATGTAAACAGCTACTATAAATTCAGATGATAAAAAAGGGGTTTTCAGAAAATATCTTGTTTCCTTGTTTCAGAACTCACAAGAAGTAAATAATAATAGGCCAAGTATTGTGTGAAAATAATTTTGCCTTTTTTTTTTTTAGTAATTATGCATTTTTACTTTTAATAAATTGAATTAAAATCACCTGTATTTCTGGGTCCAAAAAAGACAGGTGACTTTAATTCAAACGAACGAGAACGAAATTTGACATAGGTTTTTGGAGTTTAAAGGGCAAATATATAAATATTTAAAGTATAGCAATGCAGCAAATTACGACCAATCATAGGTCGATATGCTAATATGGCGAAAACGTTGTCCCAGTTGAAAAGCAAGGACTATTTGCAAATATGTATATATACATAAAACATGAAATTTCATCTTAGAAGATGAGGAGTGAATACAAGGGTGTCTTCAGGAAGAGGACCCTTTTGCTCATATTTTGGCCTAAACACATGAAGTTGGTCTAGGTTAGTTTGACGAAGGGTCCTAAATATACCAATTTTCTTTAGAAAAAATGTACACATTTAGGGTTAGGGGTTACACTTTACCTTTACTCGCTTCCTCCCTGATTTTTACCTGCTCAGTCTACGTCTGTGTCCCACAATTTCAAATTGATATACCAACTATATTTGAATGCTATTTTAGAAGAACTGTTTCATTATAAAACTCTGGTAACGTTATATGATTTACAGACCAACGCGCTGACCAAAACATTCATTCATTATTATGCCAGTCTTAATTCAAATTACTGATCATATTAATTTATCTAAAAGGTGTGAAAATCATGGTTAACTATTTGTGAAAAGTCCTAAAAAGTTTGTCTGTTGTAAGCTGTTGTTGTTGCTAGCAGTTGCGAATCGATTAATGCTTCCAAACTGTCTCTGTCATGATTTGTTGTTTATTAGGTATATATGAATCTCTTTTTCAAGTGTATGTTTCATTATACTACAGGGAATGTTACCATGAGTGTGAGTTGTAGTTATTCAGTCAAAACTCCTTTGGGTGCTCAGCTAAAATCTGAGTTCAACTCCCAATGACTATCCATGAGTGGAAAATGCAGAAGTATGTAGTTTTCGCAAAAGCCCCTAAAGAACAGTCCTTAACGATATGTCTTAGTATTAGTTTTTTTTTTTTTGCAACTAGGCAGATGTCCTCAATTTAAATATTGTAAAACTGAGACTTTTACCAGTATTAATAATCTTTAATTACATATCTCTGTACATTTATAAACGTTTACATCATCCACAGTTAACAGGTTATAAACAAACACTACTGCATAACAGGGTTCTAAAAGTTCAGCCATTTCAGTTCGGTCTGCTCTGTGGATCTTCTGGAACTGGGTCTTGGTCAGTTTGTGCACAAATCATAGAAAGAGAGGGGTTCAGTTTCACCCAGCTTCAGACAGCACTGCAGATAATGGAAGGTGCACTTCAGTGGGTCTTCCATTAAATCACTGCGAAGTACATGAGAGAGCAGCATATCCCTTTCAAGCTGTAATGTTCCCTTGTTGTCCATCAGCAGTTGAGACCAAGACCTGTCCAGTGATCAGGGACCATAAGGAAATATTTGTCCATGGCCTCACAGAAACGTGATCGATACAGCTCTGGTGACACCACCGTGGGCATTTTACCTGTCAGAAAGGAAAGAAGATGAGACATGGGTTTAAACAAGAGGGAAGAGTTTCAGCTTCTGAGAATATCATGGCTGTGAAAGTTTTAGGCAGGTATAACTGTACCTTGACCTCCAAGAATGCCAGTAGATTTGACCACCATCTCCAGCTTTTTATCCCATGTGAAAGTCCGGATATAATCTTCAAATACACAAGAGTTTTAACAATCACTAAAAGAAAAGTCCAATGTGGATTTTAAAATAACACATAAGATTTTCTCACCTATGATGCCCACAACTAGTTCATCCGTGGCATCGTCACGGCCCACCAGCAGGGAATAATCAATGATGAGGTGGCTGGACAGGAAGTGGGCGTCACTGAGGATGGCGGCACGCAGAATGGCCTTGCAGTGTGAGCGAATATAAAGGGGATTGTCATGCACCAGTTTCAGGAGGTTCTCATCCAGGAGCACCACCTCACAGCTCTCTTTTCCATGATCTGTCTTCACATTCCTGTTTCTCAGGGACCCCTTTAGGTCAAACACCTGCACAAACACAGGAACCAAGACCACGTAACAGAATGTGAAAAATCTAAATTCCCAAACTCAACAGTATTTCTGAAACACCAACTTCAGATAAGTTTTAAGTTGCTAATTTAAAGTCTCAATAAATGTACCTGTGCCATCTTTCGCCCAAAGAAGAGGTTTTCCATCACCAACAGGTCCAGTTTCTTTTCGGTGTTGTTCTGGGAGTTCTTGTAGCCGATACGGTACACTCCCAGAATCTTAGCAAGTGCTGTGGGGCGCTGTTAAACAGATACAAGAACAGTTTAGAGAGAAAAACCTGAAACGGGCCAAAAATGCTGCCTCAGACAGCCCTACAAGGTATGTATTTCCTTACTTTTTGCTGAACTGCTCCTGTGATGTGAGTAAAGTAGTGGGGTGCAAAGTCTAAGAAGGACTGGACCTCTAATCTCGGCATCTGTTTTAGAATAAACCGATCATCTGAGGAGAAACAGCATGCTTAGCAAAATACATCCAACAACCTAGAAGTCTTCACTTAATAAAAGCAACTACCTCAATATAAAAAAAAAAAAACCTTTCGTAAAGGATCTTGCACGGTCGTACCTTCAGTGGCATAGAAAACAGCACCGGACTTCCCGCCACGGGCTTGCCAGTTGACACAGTGGGAGAGCGATCGCACAAAATCATCCTCCGAGCTCTCCATAATCGCTTCCCGCATTTTATGGAACTCTACCGCGTAGTAGATTCGGCAGTAGAACTTGGCATTTGCGTCTGAGAACTCTGCATTGCAAGTATGATTTTCAGATGTCCTTATTTATATGTATACCAATTATTATTATTATTAAAAAGATCATTTATTTCAAAAATACTGTATATTTGAAAACTTCGAAAAGATAAAAAACTGACATAGTGGTTAGTTTTTAACCCGCAATTACTTAATGTCAGAGGGTCAATAATATTTACCTAAATGTTTCAATCTGCTATTTGAGGCTGATACTTACGAAGCTCGATGTGTGGGTTTCCTGTCTGCTTCTTCTGTTTGTCTCCACTTTCAGGCTCCTCTGCAAAAGATATCCCATAAACATTTAGTTTCATAAGAAATTCCATATCCGAACAAATTCTAAATGGTATTTGTAAGTGGCTAGTATTTGGTAAAGTGTGGTTAGGTTACTGAAAGGGTCAGCATCAATGCTGCTGCGGCTCAGCTGTGATGTGCTGATGTCAACAAGTTTGGCTGGGCTGTTCTTTGCTCTGCTCTCTCCAAAACTATAGATGGCAGAAAAGAAGAAATCAGCTTGCTGGTTTACAAATATACACCGAGACAATAAAGCCGATGAGGGAAATGAGTGTTTGATGTACCTAATGGCCTGAGATATGTCATCACCTCCCGTCTTTGCTGTTGTCTTTGTAAGCTCTTCAAGGGCAGTTTTATACTCTTTACAGCTAGATGATGGAAATTATAATAATGTTTTATTTAAATTGCGGAGAAGTTTGATTCATATGCAGAAATCAGTTCTTTCAAACTGTCCACTTAAAGGGGTGGTTGATTGCAATTTCACTTTTTTAACATTAGTTAGTGTGTAATGTTGCTGTTTGAGCATAAACAATATCTGCAATGTTACGAAGCTGAAAGTTCGATGCAAATGGAGATATCATCTTTTAAAATTCTGGCAGTTTAATGCCTGCAAAAACGGCTGGTAGGGACTACAACAAGTTACTTCCCGGTTTCGTGACATAACAAACCCAGATAAACCCCGCCCTCGGGAAATGGCAGCAAAGGGGGCGAGGCCATGCTGCTTTAGAGAAGAGGAAGAGAAAACTAGGGGTGCACGTAAAAAATCTATTCATACATGAATCGCGATTCTGTCTTCTAACGATTCTAATGGATTCACAAGTTTCAAAATCAATGTTCTAAAGCAGCGGTTCTTAATACTGTTCCTCGCGTCCCCCTGCTCTGCACACGCTCTGCATCTCTCTCTCTCTCTCTCTCTCTCTCTCTCATTTAGTTCAGCTCCAACAATGAACTGTTATAATTATACACTTATTTTCACATAGCTATGAGAAGCGTTAAACATGGACATGTGTGCAGTTGCCGTACTGTATTAAAGCTTTAATCAGGATAAAACCGTATATTAAAAGCTAACATAAGCAATTATGTGGCCTACCAATTAAAGCCGTGCTTGCACACGTTCTGCACGATCCTCTTCAATAATATCCTCTGCTCCTCAATTGGGCTCAAACTGATAAGCGATATTAACGACACCGTTGTTTACAATATAACCGGAGCACATTAGACGCGCACTAGAGGCGGTTTAGCCAATCACAACACACTGGGCTAGCTAACCAATCAGAGCCCATCACCTATTTCTGAGGGAGGGGCTTCATAAAAGAAGGAAATGATCAGTGCGTTTTTCAGAGAAGGGACAGAGCGGTGTGGAATAAAGGTAAATTATGTGAAAAATAATGCGTTTTTTTAAAAACGAAGCATTAACACATGTTAGACTGCACCCCATAAACACAATCAAGCCTAGAAAACAACCACTGAACCACCCCTTTAATTGAACTGGTTCACAAGAAAATTTATATTTTGCTGAAATGACGGTTCCTCTGATTGAACAACAAAACTATAAATAAACATATATAAAAATAAATACTAAAATAAAGCCTTTTAATCCATTTCAGAATAAATACATACATATTGAGATGTATTAAAACCAACATTTTCAGATCCAATTTGTAGTTATACATGTACAAAAAGCTGTACCTGAGTGCAAAGGCAATGATGGAGCTGGGCTCTCTCTCACACACGGCTATAGGAACTCTCTCGTGCTCATACATCAAATAGTGCTTGTCTGGGTCACTAACATAACAGAAAAAATAGACCTTTATCAGCTTGAGAAAGAAAATCATTAGTTTGCTTTTTAGTATCCATAATATCATAACAGCCTTACAAAGGGAAAGGGATGGGATTGTAGCTATTGCCGGGTAACAGGTTGGCAAGGATGGTTTTCATGGTGGACTTTTCCTTTACTTGACTGTCATTGGAACCAAGTAAGTGTCCATCAAACATGTCTGAACAGTACAAGAAGTAGAGAGATGAAGAGAGAGAGTAAGGCAGGTGGGATGATTATGTGTGATTTCAAACACAAGGAAGTGTCTAAAGTAAGTTTACCATCTGGGATGCTGACAGAGTCCTGATCAGGAAAAGATGGTCCGCTCGTGATGACGTCTGAAGCTTGTTCAGCCGGAGATGGTAACTGAAGAAATGAGGAAGACCCTGAACTTGACGGAAAAGTGTTGAGATGACGGTCCTCTGTGAGAAAAGTCTGTGAGTCGACTGTGTGCAACAATCAAGAGCAACATTTTCAAGATGAATAAAGAGCCAGTGAACTCACCTTTCTCTCCATTTGGGACCACAGAGGATGGGTTACGAGGAGAGGACTCCAAAGCACTCGTCTATCAATCAAAAATCAAATAAAAATGATCATGTAGTAGATGCTTTTATTTAAAGTCCAGGAGGTGGCTTACTTGAGCAAACGACTTGGTGATTTGCTAAATAAATGACTGACCTTGCTCTCATCTGATGCGGCTTGTCTGTGTCTGCCAGGGCTGGGAGGAACAGATAAGCGTTTCCTGCCTTTTTCTTGCTGAAACAAGTCCTGAAGTCTGGAGACAAGATGAAATAAAAGTTTTACTGTTCTGATGGCAGATGTTTAGTTTCAGTCTCTATGGCTCTAGTATGAATACAGTCCTCACCTGTTGTTCCAGGACTGCAGGGTCTCACACAAACCCTGCTTTTTGACCACCACTGACTCCAGCACAGCCTGTAGTTGTTGTGGCGAGTCCATCGTGCTGGTCTGCAGACGCACTTGTAGCTTCTCTATCCAGCTGCGAAGCTCTGATTCCTCCATCTAAGACAAAAAATAGTCAATTAAAGTAGCTGGACATTGGTTAATACTCTGAATGAAATTTATTTACACAAATAAAGTCCTGAAAAGAAACCCACATCTTTCTGTGCAAACATGTCCTCCATTTTTTCTTCTCTAGTCTTGCTGAAGGTGTCCGTTTTTAAAGAGGTGAGACGGTCATCTATGGCCAGGTACACCTGAGCCATCCTACAAACGATGGGGAATTTGTTAATTTAGCTGTTATCTGGAGGAGGTTTATGAGGCTGGGCAAGAGATGTCCAGTAGGGAATCTTACTTCTGGGAGAAGTCTTTGAGGTCCTGCTGCAAGTTGGCTTTAGAGGGACCCTGGCTCCTGATGATGATTTTTGGAGGAGGCAGACAGATCTCGAGTAGCCTCACTGTGATGTAGCTACAGATGACAGAAGAGCATGAACACATTTGGATTAAATGTTTGTAAAAATGTACTAAGGTACTCATATTCTGCATATTCGAATATAAAGGGATCTATATTGTGAAGATGCACACCTGAATGAAGCCACCATCTGGTTGTAGGAGAAGTACTGGTGATAATCTTTATGGATGGAGTGGCCACAAGGCTCTGCGTTGGCCCGGCGGGTGTACTGGTGACCATAGAATCGGAGCTCTAGATACTTGGCGAATGACATGGACCAGGAGTCATTAGACAAAGGGACAACAGGAGTCACCTGAAACAAAACACAGTAATAATTCACGTGAATCATACTATAGTACAAAATACCTTACATTAGTTCCGTTTAAAACAAATTTTTTAAAATCCAAATGCTCCCTGTGTTACCTGTTTACAGATACGGCACCAAGAGTAGTTGAGGATTGTGTGCTGATATCCGGGTACAGGCGAGTCCAGCTCTTTCAGAACAATCTGGACACAGCCATTACCATGCACAAAGCGCCGGATGTGGTGAACCATGGGGGTCTCACAGTACATGCTGGGGCACTGGTAAGAGGGTCTGAATCACACCCATATAACACAAAATCAGAATAAACAACAAATATGACACATTTAAATAAAGGTGTGTGTTAAAGAGCAAATACATTTTTGTGGTACTATTGGAACTGCTATCAGTAATCATGAAATTTCATTTGATTTGACTACTGAAATTTTGGTACTATGACCAACATAAGAATCAAAAATAGATGTGTGGTTTAATACATTACCTAAAACAATATCTCTCCAGAAATACGCCAAGAGTCAAGTCATTCTTTCCATAAAACTCCATTGTTACAATCCTGTAAATACATAGCTGATACAATAAAAACCTAGTCTCCCTGTTTGCATATTGAGAATATAGTCAGTAACATGCTTTGTCATACATTGTTAATACATCTTAAATTATTAAGACAATGCAAGTATGCTGAGAGTTTACCATGGACTGACACAGGGGTTTGGGGCATTATTAGACTGTGCTGAAGAGCTACTGAACAGCACACAGAGCCTCTGATGGTTGACTGGATTTAAACAGTCCAGCTGAAACATAAAAACAATTCATTTTTAAATTACTATTTTAAAACAAACAAATGTTTTTCTGCAATTTATAGGAAACATTTGGTTAGCCTCTAATGAGTAGCAGCTTAATGTTAGCTAAATTTCCAGCTCTGTTATTTGCAACCCATGTTTAATGCAAACAAATAAATAAAATAAATAACACAAATCAAGGTTCTGCATTCAACGTTTTGGGGGAAAAAAGTAGAAACCTTCATAAATTGAAAAGATAATACACCTTATATAATGAATAGTTTGACTATGACTTTTTATCAACGTTAAGCACCCTAATCACTGAAAGTGGCTCACTATTTCAGGATGTGGAATAAAGTAGCAGAATAAACATACTAGCAGACAAGAAACCCTCACCTTATTAGCCCAGGTCATTTCGTTGAGTCCTGCCACTTTATCTTCTTCACTGTCTGACTTTATTGGCGCCTTGGTGCGTGGGGTTTCACGAAATTGCATTCCTTCTCTTTGCCGAATGCGCCCCCCCTGGGCACGATAGTCAGCCAGCATGCGTGCCAGCTCCTGACTGCTGCCTAGCAGCTCTATTATACGGGCACCTGTCAGTTTGTGACAGGGCAAAATCTGGATGGTCCGTTGGTGCGACACAGTACCGTTGGTCAGGCTGCCAGAACTCGGGCCAGACTCTTTCAGCAGCTGCCTCTTGCGGCGTCCGTCCAGCTCTTTTAAGTCCTTATTCAAGAGAGGTGAGAGGTAAACCTGTTCTGGGAAATAGTCCCGGCTAGGACAACACAGTCCCGCAGCCGTGAGCAGGTATGGCTCCCGAAAGGTAATAAAGGGTGAAATGCAGAGGATAATGTCTTTTAGGTCCTGTTTAAACAAAGCTGAGATGGATTTGAGGCGGTCATCTGAAGAAGCTACATGTTCGGTCACAAACAGGCCTGTGTCATCCTGTAAGGGATCCCTAAAGAGCCGGGTAGGTGGAAGGGAGGTCTCAGAGCTGGTGCTGTCCCGATGGACCAGAGTCTCCTCCAGCTCTTTGTTCTTCTCCTCCTCACCTAGCGCTTTAATTACTTCCTGTGACGTCTCTTTTAGGTCTGAAATAAGGAAAGGTGGTGACACCGGCTGGGGAAGGCTGGAAGTGAAGGATGAAAGGGGGGTGGAGGTCTTTATAATCTCTTCCTCTCCTCCAGAGAAGGAAGCAACTGAACCATTTGTATTTATTCTGGGGCTTTCTCCATCTTTATGAGAAGATTTTGAGATGGAAGGCTGTCTACTGTGGGCATTGATAATCTCCTGAATCCCTGGCTCAAAGTCTCCTTCTGGAAGAAGCGTGAGGTTGTCATCCCTCAGTGTAGAACCATCATTATCTTCCTCTTCCTCCAAAGTGGTGCTTTCCAGGAGACATGGGAAAGAGGAACTCTCAGCCAGACTAGGAGGCATAGCAAACTCATCCATGAGGAAAGAGATCTCCAGCTGTGAGTGGTACGCTACACACACCATAAAAATGATGATCTCTTTCACCCGTGCCAGCTCATACTCTGAAGCACCACGGAGCTTGATAGTGCAGCCCAGCTGAGGAGGACACCCATCAAAAAACATCAGGGACTTCATTTCATCTGGAAACAAAAATGATCAAGTGAATTTTACAAATCTTTTTAAAATTACCAGTAAAAACAAATGACAAAATAATATGCTAGATTTGTTAATGGTTGCAATGAACAATGTTACTAAATAATTTTTTAACAATTAGCTTTCTACTGTAACACATGCACAGTTAAATATCCAATATCAACAAATACTGAAAAATGAATAACCAATATAATATTGATTAATTGCATCTCTAAAAAGAACAACTTTTATCAAAATAAAAAGAGAGTTCAACCTGACATGCATCAGAAATAAAGACAGGGATTAAGACTCACTATTTGGCAGCTGGAAGGAATGTAGGTAAAACTTGTGGCAGGTACCCAGACGAGGTTTTGTAAGAAGCTGATCCATTGAAATGACTAAATCTCCCTGAGTCATTCGACTCACACGGTCCAGGACTTGCTGTGTTGATTAAAAAGAGATATGAACTGAAACATTCACAAACCAGATCAAAATAACCCATAAAAACCTGTTTGCCATGTCCTCTCTGATAATGGCATTATCAATGGGCAGCTATGTGGAGTATATTTTTGAAGCGATGAATAATATTTAAACAACGCCTTGGAGAAGGTACTAACAGGTTTGACATTAATCACAAGGCTAATGCCGTGTTCCAGTAGCATGTCCTGAGCGATACGGGACACTGTCTTCTCCACCAGTACCAGGTTTGGTCGGACGTCAGCAATCCTCTGAACATAGTTCTTCAGAAACTCATGCTCCTGGAAAGCACAAATCGCAAATTAAACGATTTCTCAGATTCTTGTATTTTTAGTCTATTCTCTGAAGATAAGTCATGTTTACAGAGATCATGTAGGGGTTAGTGGCCGTTACCTGTAACACAATTGGGTCAATGCAAGTGAACTTTGTCTCTTCTCTGTATAGATACTCAATGGAGCATTTGAGGAGAAGGATCTTGGGGTTTTTGATGTAAGGATTCATCTGTTGAGAAAGTCCCGGCACTGTTAGCACATATATTACATGACCTTCTCTGTGGCATAATGTTCGATCAATACAAACCTTTTTGTGTGCAATATTCTTTGTGCAAACAAAGCCGTTCACTACAGCAGAGTCAAACTTCTTTCCACCTGGAATCTACGAAAAAGCAAATATTAGACATTTGTCTGGTAGAACTAGATTCATTGATTTTGCGTCCATTGTGTTCCTCACCTTCTTGATGTGGACAAACTGACGGATATCCATGTCGTCATCGCAGTTGCGCACATCCGGTCGCACCGTCTGCACAACCTGCCTCACCACAGGCACAATGATGTCACGCCAGGAGAGAGACAGTGATTCGCTGTACAGCAGCTGCTGCAGCAGTGCCATCATGTGGCTGTGATTAGCAGACCTGAAGAGGAAGCATTAATCATGATGTGTACTTCCAAAAGTCCCTAAACTCATTAAACATGTGATTTATATGTGATGCTTGTGTGACCATAAAGTAGACACTGAACAATATTTATAGTATTTTAATGATACCATGTCATTATTACATTTTTCCACCACACTTTCTTTTTAAAGTATTTTGCTCCTAATTGTACATTAATAGAAATAAACCAACCTAAAAATAACATCTTATGCTTTAAAAATAGCAATCCTCTCATATCTTACAGTAAACGCTCCATCGCTTTCTTTTCCCCATTCTCTTCCCGCAGCTGGTCCAGAGAGCTGTGATGCCAGCCGAGAGGTGTGAAGAGCATCTCTTTTGCTTTCTCCTCAACTCTCCGGTTAAACAGAGACTCTACAGAGGAAAAACCCATTAGCATTGGTGAGACAATAGGTCATGCACACTATACCATATTTGAAATAAACTGTTATTTTTACTCACCAAGGACACATTAAATTGACAATAAAGTACATACATTTACATGTATGCATTTAGCAGACACTTTTATCCAAAGCAACTTACAAAAGAGAGACAAAGTAAAGACATTTATTATTACAAATGACTCTATCTACTTAGTGCTGTTCTTCAAACTCTCTGTTCATTGAAAAATGCAGCAATGATAACTTTGCAGACCTTATGCTAAATAATTAGAATGAAGTTTCATCCCATGCTTTCTGTTGCACTTCCCATAGGTGTGATTTGCTTGTAGGGAATTTCCGACAGACCTTATGATCAAATGGTTTCCACAACAGATCAAATTTTGATTTATCTATTCATAATACTCTTTTATAATTGGTTACCATCTTTAGGTTCTTCTGACCATTCTGTCCTTTTGCTTTTACTCACCAAAATTTCGAATTAGACTTTAAGCTTCAACTTTCAAAACCATACATGTCTAAATAATTCCAAACTTTTAAATGGAAGTATTGTAACAAATTACAATAAAGGATGCGAGAAACGATTACCTTTAATGAAGGCATCACTGATGGATATATGCTGACCTCCATCTTCAGAGAGCAGGACTTCCGCTGACGTAGAGAGAGAGAGTGCATGTGAGACAGAACAGCCAGCTGTAGACATCAGAGTACACTGAATTATATAGATTTAACATATAATTAAAATAAATATTAATTAGAGTAAATGCTGCTATAAAACCATGCCACAGTCTGGTACATGACAGTGAATTAGCTTCAACAGTAATTTTGAGGAAGTGGAAGTCAGTGTCACTGCTTTGCAACTGTGAGGCACGCATGACGTAGCAGCAAGCCATGCTTGTGAGGTAGTATGACAAACTGGAAATGTATTAATATGAAATGCTGTACTGGGAAACCATGTGAGGCTGGGAAGGGAAAAAATAATTCATGCTGGATATATGCCATAGTTAGGGCTGCTACTTCAATTGTTAATTATAGTTTTGAGGGTCGGACTAGTATTGAATGGTGAGTCTCAGATCAGCAAGACATTGGTTCTGTTCCACACCATAGTGAGTTGTCTACCTAGAGTAGATGAGATTTAAAGACATCAACACTATGCCCTGATGTAAAGCCTGCTACAAATATAAAGCAGTAAAGTTAGGCGGTCTCATAAGATGCCTCATTTTAGCTTCAGTCTAAGGCAGTGGCACATGTATTCTTGAAGCATAAAGCAATACCAGAATGCATAATCCCAGATAAAAAAAATTTTTTTTGATCAGTTAGAATTTGTTTAAAAACAATAAAAATTAATAATAAATACAATTAATTTTGTGCTTATTAAAGAGTTCATGTTATACTGTTTATTTATCTTTTTTAATTTTTAATTTTTTACATATTTTAAATAAATTGTTCATAACTTAAATTGTAAATCAAGACTTTTTTTTGCACATTTTAAACCTACTCTTTGACCCCGAATATTAAATTGTTGGACCTTTAATAAGTCATCATTGAGGTGTCTTTGGAGTTAGCTAGGTAGCTGCCTATGTAGAGTGAGGCAGCTCAGTAGGGTTTGGAACAGAGCCAGTGAGTTAGTGCTGCTTTTGAAGCAGACTGAGGCAAACCAGGATGGCCAATGGGCCTCTCCGCCTCTCCTCACTTGGTGCATGGATGTCGGTTTCTGGGGTGAACGGGTCATGGGGCTCCATACTTTTTTGCTCGGCTGGGTAAGGAGGCACATGTGGGTACTTGGCCTGCTTCTTGATGTGGAAATTGACATTGTCCTGCTCCATGTTTATGTTGATGGAGGCGGCTGAGTCACTGTCCACTGCAGAGTGGAAACTGCTGACAGATGTTCTTTTGCTGGGGCTGGCCGAATCTGAAAAATTGTGAGAGGGGGCCAGCAAGTTGGTGAGGCAATGATTTACTGACTGCTATAGGATGTTAACATTCATGGGATACTTACTCGGTGTGACATAGTCATTGTCATCAGCTAGCTGCTCAGTGTCACTGTCGTCAAACTTGATGTCTTTAAACCATGAAGGTTCGGAGTGTCCCTCCAAGGAATTCACACTCTCACTGTCTGGAGAAGGAGTTTCTGAGAACTCTGTGCTCTGAAATTCAACAAGCACATTAGTAATGTGATGACTAAATGATGACAAAATCTAAATCAGTACGTGTGGAGGACAGAGGAGCCTCTTAAAGAAGAAGTTACAGGTCTGTGAGAGCCAGAAATCTTGCTTGTTTGTAGGTGACCAAATACTTATTTTACCGAGGAATTTACCAATTAATTCTTTAAAAATCCTACAATGTGATTTTCTGGATTTTTTTCTCATTTTGTCTCTCATAGTTGAGGTATACCTATGATGAAAATTACAGGCCTCTCTCATCTTTTTAAGTGGGAGAACTTGCACAATTGGTGGCTGACTAAATACTTTTTTGCCCCACTGTATGTGTCTGTCCACCCTGTCTAAATACTGTCTGCCAGTCCACAACGCTAGTAAGGTGAATCCCAAGAAAACATGCCCAGATCATATTTTACTCCAAAAATAAAAAAGTAAAAAATAAATACTTGTTACAGTGTAATTAGACATTTAAGTACGGAGTAATATTAATTAACATGTACTTACTGTATGGTTAGGGTTAGGATCAGGGTTTGGCTTAGGGTTACTTGCATGTAATTATGCATAATTAATCGTTATTATAATAGTAAGTACAAGTAACGTGTAACAAGGACACCTTAAAATAAACCAAATTACATTTTGCATAAAGAAAATTTAACTTTTTAGGACAGTGAGTTTTTTTGTATTGTAACTACTTTCATGCATTAAGCATGAAACACTTTTAGTTATTTTTTGCAATTCTAATTGTTTTCTCAAAAAAAAATTCTTTTTTTAAATGTATGATTTTTGGGGGTGAAATTTAACTTTGTTTATAGCAACAATTTTTTCTCAATTTAAAACAATTTTAACAGCAAACAATTTCAATGGATATAAACATCAAAGAAATAACATCTAAATTGTACACTTTTCCTTGTACATCCCATTTTATTTGTTAACTACAAATTTAGTTTCTATGCTTTAGATGAGGAACAGAAGAAAAATCCTAAATCATCAGGCAGCTACTTGACTAGATGGAACTATAAGGGCCAATCCTCCAACAATCCTCAAGTGAAAGAGATAAACTGTGAGAACAATGATCATGGTAAGAAAGCAGAGTTAAAACATAGCAGAGAAACACCAGAGGGATAAGGTAAAGTGAGCAGGAACAATGGAATAGATAGTGATATGTCCTTATTCCCCGCCCCATTTCTGATTCTCTCTGTGTTTTCACCTTTGCCAGGCCAGGTCCTCTTCCAGGAAGATGTTCCGGCTGGCTTTGCGGCCCCCCACAGGTGTGCGTGGTTCGGTGGGCTCCAGAACACACACAGAGCAGGGCGAGTCTGACAGGGCGCTGAGATCTTCTCCGATGGAGCTTGAGTCAGCTGAGTGAGCGTAGCTCAATGCTATTTTACGACAGTACGTACAAGCCCGTAAATCACCTGCAGTATGGGGGGAAAAAAGCCAAAAGAGACAAGATTAGAGAAGTTGGACAACCAAGATCCCTGGCAGAGATCAGTTTGAACTAGTGTACCCTGTAAAGGTCTACAGCTAAATGTTTGGGGTCCAAAACCAACCTGAATATAAGAATAACCAAAGTAAAAGTTTCTCAGAGAATGTAGTGATCGTCATAATTAAAATAGTTCAAATGAGTCTACAGCATAAAATATCTGCCAAATTAGTACTGAAGAAATTGTTTTGCTTTTTAGGTAGATACCGATTCCTCCTAAAGGGTCAAAGTGCACAGACACACATTCTTACCTTTTTCAAAATCAAACCAGTTAGTCCACAAAGTTCAAAAGTCACTCTACAACCCATTTAAATCAAAACCCAAAAATGTCAAACCACCGCAAACACACGCAGCATGCTAGAGGTAGTCTTACACTTTAATCTGAAATAGCTGCTCATCTTCTTGTCGAACACCTCTTCAAAGAGGCTACGTCCACAAACCAGCAGTCAGAATGAGACCCTTGCTCCCCACAGCGAACACCACAACAACACTCACCCGTATAGCCCATGAACTTGCCAGGAATTTCCTGGTTGCAGCATCGGCTGCAGAAGATTTGACCGCAGAGTCGACAATGGTGACGGCGTCGAAAGGTTGTGAATTTCTCGTTGCAGTCATAACACTCCTTACACTGGCTGTCCGGCATCCAGTACTGTTTCAGATCACTGTCCTGGAACAGAAAAACATGATTAATATCACCACTTTTGTACTCTGTGGTGTATTCTGGAGAATGTGGGTAGGCTCTTTTGTCTATAAGCTTAGGCTCATCTGTATAAACTAGGGGTTGCACCGACTAATTGACTAGTCGACTTCAATGCTCTGCCATGACACTTTAAAGGGGTCATATGATGCGATTTCAATTTTTCCTTTCTCTTTAAAGTGTTACAAGCTCTTGATGCATAAAGAAGATCTGTAAAGTTGCAAAGACTAAAGTCTAAAAACCAAAGAGATATTCTTTATAAAAGTTAAGAGTCAACCACGCCTACCTAAAACGGCTAGTTCTAACATTTGCATAACACCTCCAAAATGTTCACGCAAAGAAAGAAGGTGTAACTTTTATTCTCGTTGTAGTATAGTGGGGTCATATGATGCGATTTCAATTTTTCCTTTCTCTTTGGAGTGTTACAAGATCTTGGTGCATAAAGAAGATCTGTAAAGTTGCAAAGACTAAAGTCTAAAAACCAAAGAGATATTCTTTATAAAAGTTAAGAGTCAACCACGCCTACCTAAAACAGCTAGTTCTAACATTTGCATAACACCTCTCAAATGTTCACGCAAAGAAAGAAGGTGTAACTTTTATTCTCGTTGTAGTATAGTTGCTGCCGCCATGTCGTGAAGGCGCTGTGTGTTTCATTGTGAAAGCGAAACTACTTTGTTTGGCCTTCCAAAAGAGGACGATATCCGCTTCGTCATGCCTAGAGCTGATCTGTGCTGGTAGCTGAGGAAATACATCAACTTCGCGCTGTGGATCGCCGGATCGGCTTTCACCGTGGACGAAGCAGAGTTCAGCCCGGGGTCGTCACATGTGGTTGCCGCAAGCCCGCCGGCCGCACTGTTCTCAAGCCCGCCCGCCGCTGCTCACTCAAGCCCGCCGCGTGTGACGCTGTGTGTTTCGTTGTGAAAGCAAAACTACTTTGTTTGGCCTTCCAAAAGAGGACATGACTAGAAATCAGTGGTTAAGTTGTATTTTACAACACTGTTCCAGAACAGTTCAACCCAAATATTCAGATGTGAGCAGCACATTTTATGGAGGACTACAATGCCGGCTGTTCTGACTCACAGAATTTAAGTAAGCTTTTTTTATATTTAAAGAATTTGCCACTGATGATTCAAACGCAAGTTTTGGGCAGTGTAGAGTAGCGCTTGTTGTTTGTCATTTCTCTGATCACAAATGCAGACAAGGTTTTATGTTTATGCGACGCGATGCAATGCAACGTGTAAAAAGACCGTATAAGTCATTATAATCCGTAATTATGTCCCCACTGGATGCAACAAATGCCTCGTTTATAATGGGTTTTAATGTTTTTGTCTCGTCGCTCCGGCCTGACAGGGCATTACAATATGGTAAGGGGCGTAACATTTCCGTCACACGCTTGAGGTATTCGGCCAATCACAACGCACTGGATAGCTGGCCAATCAGAGCACACCTTGCTTTTCAGAACGATGAGCTTTGTAAAAATCTACGCATTTCAGAAAGGCAGGGCATAGAGGAGAAACAATAATGTACAGTATGTGGAAAATAATGTGTTTTTTTTTTACCTTAAACCACATAAACACATAATACCCAAATACACAAAATAATGTTATTTTTAGCAACATTATATGACCCCTTTAAGCTTGACGTGGACTAGTCGCTGGTCCTATAGAGGGCGCCACAGGATAAGAAATCTTTAAAGGACTTCCACATTTACGCTCCGTTTCCAAACAGTTCAAATGACAAATAAATGCATACTCTGAATGCGCTCCACAATACATGTGTGATTATATTACTGGATGCTCGAAACTGAACAGGTGAATGCACATTTTAAACAGCTTATTGTACAGATAAGTTAATCGCCGTTCTAATCTAATGCGCTGCTGCACTGTAACGCACACACATAGGCTCGTAGACAGTAGCTCGTACATCACGCACAGAATCATTCAGCGCGGAAATGTAGCCTATTGTCAACTAGACTTGTGCCGGTATTCGGTAATGCGATATATCACGGTAATGAAAATGCACGATATTGTTATCGTGGGCACTTCTAAATACCGTGAATAATTATATATTACAAATTATTTAGAATTTTGAATGCATTTTAAGAATACTTTCCCATCAACTGGTCAAAATGCACAACACAGATGTATGCTGCGTGAAAGAGGCCTGCGCACTCTGACGTAAACAAGGCGGACGAGAAGCACATGACGGAACACGTGAGAGACGCTCTGAAGGAAAGCGCACTTTCACTCTCTGACAGCAGATGGCACTAAACTGCAGAAATAATAATAATAATAATAATTCATTTAAATGCAGCCGTTACCCCGGAAACTCTGTAAACAAAGCAGCTGCACTACTTTCTGTTTCTGAAATGATTTATGTTTAAATGATTTAAACAGCTATTCAGATTTGTGTATTTGCTATGATGTTCATCACAGCACCAAATACTTAAATATTTAGACTTAATAGACTATTTATTTTAAAACTTTTTTTACATTTTAATCTGGACTACAACATGCACTAGATATTGTTTGAAAGTGTTTTGATTCTTTATTGTTCGGTCACATGTTACATTAGGGCTTCATTATTTAACATTATTTAATTAATTAGTTAACAAACTGCCAATGAAAAATTCTTCTGAACATTCATTAATCTTAGGTATTTCAATATTTAATAACAGGTTGTTAAAATCGAAAGTTGCAGCTGTGGTGTTATTTAATGAGCTAACGTGAACTAAGACTTGTATTTTTTAAACAAAGATTAATAACTTCTGTAGCAAATGTAGGTATTGCTCATTGTGAATGTTAATGCATTAACTAAGGTTAACTAATGAGGTCTTATTGTAAAGTGATACCTATTGGTTTTTATAGTTCTTTTGCACTTTAATCTGTGTAAAACTTTTAACTTTATAAATTTTTCTGTATTGCTTTATTGCATTTAAATGTTCAGTTATTTTTGTTATAAGAAAAAAGTTATTAAACCTGTTATACTGTATTATGACAGCACTTTTTTAAAACTCAATTTCAATATCGTGATAATACCGCATACCATGATAAAAGCATTAGCAATTAATCGCAACATGAAAATTTGATACCGGCATATCCCTACTGTCAACACTGTTCTGTGATTTCTCAATAAAATAGCTTAGAAACTGAAAGGCTCTAGCATATATTTCTTAATAACTAAATCCCACAGCTTCACTACTAGTAGAGAGATGCTGCCAGGTAGAATTAATTCACACGCAATAGCTCTCACTAATGCATTCATATGAATGCAGTCTTTACTGTGCTACTTTTATCTGTATCTGATTTAGAACGAGCAGAAATCGGTGAGAAATATAACGACCCAAAGACAAAAGAACTGATAAAAAGCTGTTATAGGAGCAATAGCCATGTGGGCAGCACTGTGTCATATGCCATAGCTGGGCACAAGCTGTTTGTCACAGCCCCAGACTTATTTGTTCAGTAATGACGTCATCGGCGACTAGTCGACTTTGACGCGCCTTTCATCACATAAAAGTCGATTTAAAATTTTTTTTGAAGTCGTTCAACCCCTAGTATAAACACGCAAAAAAAATACTCAAACTTGGGATTTTTTTTTTTTCAATGACATTCATCTTTAAAAAAAATACAGATACAGCTAGTTCACTGGAAATCAATACCTGACTTTTCCCTTCCATGATCTCCTTGAGTCTCTTGAGGACTGTGCGTAGCTGGACAGCTGTTCGGGGATCGTGGCTGCCCAGAGGAGCTTCGGATTTCCGTCGACCCTCTATAATTGCAAAGAAACAAAAAAAAAAGCACCAGTCAAATACAAAACAAAATTTTTTTAAACTTACTCTAAAGTACAATATACAGGTGAAAATGCATGACACACATGCTCATTCAAAACCAAAGCCTGCAGTCAATTATCCACCAGCACTCTTTATCCTGTAAATGATTGCTTACGTCAGCCGCCATAGGTCAGCGAGGATTTTCAGGAAAATTTTGATTCTCATGAGTAGACTATGAATGAATAGAAGCATGTGGAATTACTAAGACCAACAACTAAAGCTCATAACCAAAATGTTCAGCTCAAACCGTTGATGCATCCTTTCACATGCAACAAATGTGGTTAATTTAAAACTATACGCTGCAAAATTCATATTCTTAATCAGTATTTCTGTACATTTTTCCAGTAAGCATATCCAAACATCCTTAAAACTAAATAAATATAACGGAGTGTAAGATTCATGTTTTCAGAGAAACAAGTTTACCTCGACACATTTGACAGTTGTTTTTTGGGGGATGACGAGGGTTATTTAAAACAAAACAAAGCGATTTGACAGCGTGTTAAGAAAAAAAGAACCTACTGTAATTAAAGATATATTCTCTGAAAACAAATCTTAGTATATTTGTTTCTCAAGAAATTGTTTCTTCTTCTTTAAGGATTTTTATTTCTAAAAAAACCAAAATACTGATAAAGAAAATATTTTCTTTTTGCAGTATACACACAAAATTCAACTCGATGTTGATGAATTGAAGCATTTTAGCTCTATATGAAACTGACTTCATACATATGAAATAAAGTAAAGAATCCTCACCTTCCCAGTCCACTGTGAACAAAAAGGAACATACAACAACTTTAGCCTAAAAGATTTCGGCACATGCAATATTTTATCGTAAAACTCAATCAGCACTCACAAAATATTCAGCTTCTAGTCATCTTGAAATCATCTTGCAACTTCCAAATAAAAAGTCATGGTTCACAATACTTGTTTACCACTTGAATTATAGTCATAACTCCAGAATGTAGTTTTCCAGGTTTACAGCCGAACAAAAACTGTTTACGTTGCCTGTATGTCCGCTAATAGTAAATGTCCAGTGGCCCTCCTGAGAGTGGTATGGATCATATGAGGGCAGAGTCTAGCCTTCGAATCACTGTTATCTTCAATGATAAACCCTGTGAGAACCACGCTGCCGTGACTAGTCATCAATCAAAGAGACCACTGATAGGATTGGCCTTTCTAACTCTAGCAAGCGCATGTTTTGAGGAATACAGAACAATGGTTTTGTCTACGGAAAAAACGAATGACTTTTAGCATTCTCTTCTATAGAAGAACAGATACAACGTAAAAAAAAATAAGAAATAAAAAATAAAGTAAAAACCTAGATGATAACTGTGGACAGCTGAAAAAAGACAATTGTGTACAAATATACAAGTATATGCAATCTTGTGTTTTTGTACCTGAAGCAGTGGATGTTCTTCTGAGAAGTTCTGAATGTTTCCTGTGGGGTTCGGAGCCATGTATAGAATGGGAGGGACTTGCCCAGTTGCGGCGTGGCCCCTGCGGTGATGATGAAGCCGACTGACTTTTCTCGGTCACTGAAGGAGCCCGTCCTTCCTCTGAACAATTGAAACCAACAGAAAAGCTCTGTCTCCGTCAAAAGGTAGAACATTTCAAATTTTGTGCTGATTGGCTGATTTAAAGAAAGAATTTGCATTGTGTTGACATTTCTTCTTTTCCCGAAATAATTGTTTCCCCAATTACTAATTTTTTCTTATCCTTGTATTTCCGTACAAAATCTAGACTTACCAAGTTTAGCAAGCTTTTTTGCTGGTGCAATGTTTGCACCTGTTTTTTCTAAAAGGAATGAAAGGGAGAGATTAGAGAGTTGACCACTATAAAATTAATTTAAAATGTTATGGATTATCATACTGATTAACTGTAAATCTAGATACATCAATAATATTCAAAGAAATTAAATTTGAATTCCTGACATTTCTCTGTTGTAGTATGTCAGAGTATTTCTTCAGCTCCACTGACCTGATCAATTATATTAACTAAACAAAATTATCAAATGTCCAACACAAATGCAAACGTTGAACTTGTTAAATCCACTAGAGTATCATCTATTTCATAATTAATGCACATGCAGTAGGAGTTTCCCTTTTCTAAAGTGTTCTTAGGGCACATCATTTCCTCACAGTAAGCCATTTACTCCTTAATGTAAAGTGAACTATACTTTAATAGAGATTATCAATTCCGTTTAGCCCTAACAGGATGCACTTAAATATTATTTTGTATAGCTTTATGTCTTATTATATAATTTCATATTAAAGGGTTCACTTTCACTCTTGTCCAGCAGCACTTCCAGCAGGAATGTTCTGTTGATATTATACACAGGGGAAAAAAAAAAAACGAGAGTAAAATAAAGAAACACATGAAAGCATGCAGAATGGGCACTGTGTTCTTGGTACATTTTGAGCAAAATCATATGACTTTATTTCCAAGATCATATGTTTATTTCCCTCCACTGACTGTTCAATACAATTCCTACCACTGGCTTTCTGGAATTTTCAGTAGAGCACATACTCTAAAAACAGAATGGCTACTTCATGTAACCTTGTACTTTTATTCCAGAAATCAAATTCATGTTCAAAAGTCAAGTTATTAAAATGCTACACATTTTTATGCTTTAAATGTGCAACCAAACAGTCAATCAGGAATACAAAGTACTATGCATCCAATTTCCAAATAAGTGCTATCGACCCATTAAAAAAGACTCCATTCACATAATTGCATAAAGCAGTTTTTAATGGAGGATGATATTCATGAATCGGTGTTTGATGGCAGAACAGTGAACCTTTGAAACCAACTTCATGGTTTTAAAAATAGGAAATGCAGGTGCAGATGTTGATTACGACACAATGGCGTGAAAACAATTCTGTTTCACCTTTGCTGAAGCGGAACAGACTGACGAAGGAGCTGTAGGCAGAGCGCAGGGGCGGCTCGTCCTGCTCGGGGGTCAGGGGTTTGAAGTGTGTTAGATGGGAGGGACTGCTGGGAGAGAGTGGCGGCTCGGAACTCCAGTCCATCGCAGAGGACGAGGAGGAAGCCTTGTCTTCAGCAGCCATGTCACTGCCCCTGAGGGACAATCCAAACCAGACTCAATCCAATTCCAAATACAATAATGTATGTTTGATTATATTTGTGTACTAAATAAACACTGGGTTGGTACGCTCAGTGTCTAAATAGTGTTTAAATAAATAATGTCTCAGTAATGTCTAAATAAACCCTGATGTCAGTAACTCTAGGCTAAAGCAAAGTCAATGTAGAAGTCAGTCGTGTGAGCTATATAATGTGAACCTCACTACAAAACAATATAAATGAAGACATGTAATCACACATACTGGCTGACTACAAAACATAACGTGACCCAAAAAAATAAGATCACAAGGCAGACTGTAAAAGAGAAGTTCCCTTTATAACAAAAGGACTTCTGCACAATGTGATATCAGTTAACTTTGTCATTTAAGAAAGATTGATCAAATCTGTCCTGAGCTTTGTAGGCATGTCAGTGAGAAAGTGCTAACCAATCACTACAGCATTTATTATCTATTAGACACTCATTTCAGAAACAGGATTGGCACTTTACTAACTAGCTGTAAGTGGCCAAGTGATAAGGATAGAGGAATGGCACAAAAAGGCCGGGAAATGAAAACATAACACAAACACGAGTTTCAATATCATGTGATTCCTAGAGAACTGTACTATGGCGAAGGCCTGCTCATGAATAATACCTACTTTATACTGACGTTCCGGTAAGAGCGTCCAATCAACTAACATACTTAATATTCATGAGCCAAACCTTCGTCTTTGTTAACCAGCCACCTGACGAACGCCAGCGTGCCAACGTCTGCCTTTCGCCCAATCAGGTAAGCCAAACCCGATACGTCATTAACATTCAGGAACCACGCCTTCGCCATAGTAGGACACGTAAACTCGCATTACGCTGGCGGTTTATTATATTTATTTTAATTATATACACGTTCAGCTAATTTTACGACTGTTAACCATACATGTGCATTATTATTACAAACACGTTAGAAGAGAGCTCTGCTCTGTTACTGTTTTAGCGAATTCATAACAGATCATGTGTGAAGTGGATGAGACACAACATAAATAATCATTTTAACGTAACGTTATTGCAAAATGCTCATTAGCGAATATACTAACATAATAGAATGCAACAGAGCAAATAAAAACAGATAAATACTGAGCTATGTTACATTTAAGCAGTGATGCTGCCGTGGACTGTTGTTATCTGAGAGTATCTCATCCATTTCATCTGCTAGGCTTAATTGATCATTTAGACACATTCAGTTTTACTTGTGGTTATCTTATCATATATATTTAACACACACGTTAGTTTCCGACAACAATGTCAAATTTCCTGTTTCATCTATTAAAGGCCCAAGTAAAGTTAGCAAAGCTAGCTGTCTGATAAACTAATACCAACATGCATGTATCATCAAAGCATAACATAAATGTTAGACGTACCTGTACCGCCTTTTTTTACACCATGTCTATGTCAGTTGTTTAGAGATGTCATTAATCCTTAATTTATTTAACCGAAAGACATTTTCCGTTAATTCCACCCTTGTGATGTTCGGCGACTTGATCAGACCTGCTAAGTCGATCACAGAGAGTTCGAGCAGTGTTACGCTAGATAGCGCTTCTCGCAAAGTCAGGCATAGCTAATCGGTAAAAAAGAAAAATGTAGTCATTTAAAAATATTTATTGTAAAATTTTAGATTTTTAACATAACATAACATGACATAGTCATATCTGGTTATATGTCAGACATAATTGGTTTAATGCTTTTATTTAGATTTAAACTTGTACAGGGGATGTGTATATTATATTAATAATAAAAACGAAATTACAATACAACACGAATTTTAGAATAAAAAAAACATAAAACAGCAAATGAGAAATAAAAGAAAAAGGGAAAACAGACGCAAAAAGATTAAAATAGTTGCACATGCTCAGGACATTAACTGTAAAGTGCCCCTAGCAGTTATGATTCACCACTGAACCGTACTTGACCACAGCAGTGGCATCATTTAATTCAATAAGAATATTTCTAGTCTTCTAGAGATATAGAAAAACAATTGATTTGATCTTTAAGATTTACACCCTGTCTTGCACAAATTAGGATTCATCTTGTGATGTCTCTTTGTGTTCAGATTTGATCTTTTCATCACATTCCTTTCTCTCATCCCTTATGTTAGTAGACAGTTCATGCTCATTTCTAGCAGTTTTCTTGTTCTCTGCCTTCCCATGTCTCTCTGCTGAAATTGGTGGCAAAGAGGATCCCTTTAATAACACATAATATGAAAAAAACTCAAGTCAGAGTATGCATAATGAAGTATGCACGAATACAGTATGCATAAATAAGTACAAGTATAGGCAAAAAAAAGTGTCAAATAATATTAAGCATGCTTACGTAAGTATAACTGGACAAAATGGGAAATATCTGCTCTACTGTACATTTTAGTAATGATTTGCTCACATGTGCTGTGTACAGACGCGGATATCTCCCTATGGTGTCCATGAGCTGAAGGTTTTTGAGCCACTGCTCGTGCACACCTGAACGCTGTAACGGGGCCTGCAGCTGGACAAACGCTGAAGGAGACACTCATGCTCTTCAGTGATGCGAAGCAGATCCTGCTGTCTTTTTTCTGAGCCAAGACTGAAACAGAAACCATAAAGTGCGATGTAAATGTTTAAATATTATAGAAGTTATGAAATATTTAATATTATATTGTTGTATATATTATACCTTTTCTGTACATAGTCATTTCTACAGTCAACTCCCCCGCTGGTCTGCATTATATGGGACATTTTGTCGAGAAGCATGTGATTTTCTTTTTTGATTCTCGAAACCCGTTCTTCTTCAAGCTGGTTATGACAGACGAGAGAATGATATCTCAAATTTGTTTACTAAGAGGATTAATATGCATGCGTTTCCCGAGCTTTCCATTTTTGACAATTAAACGGGGGAAATGTCGACATCTGGTGGTAGTTCAGCTTTCCTACCTGTCGTATCTTCAGCTTGACAAGGAGATGGTTATAGGTTATAGGTTTTCGGTGGAGTTGTGTTGATAGTTGGTTTTGCGGATTTAACCTGGAAATATTATGCATATGAGAAGAGTTTATGCTGCAGTCATTTCTACAGTCAACTCCCCCGCTGGTCTGCATTATATGGGACATTTTGTCGAGAAGCATGTGATTTTCTTTTTTGATTCTCGAAACCCGTTCTTCTTCAAGCTGGTTATGACAGACGAGAGAATGATATCTCAAATTTGTTTACTAAGAGGATTAATATGCATGCGTTTCCCGAGCTTTCCATTTTTGACAATTAAACGGGGGAAATGTCGACATCTGGTGGTAGTTCAGCTTTCCTACCTGTCGTATCTTCAGCTTGACAAGGAGATGGTTATAGGTTTTCGGTGGAGTTGTGTTGATAGTTGGTTTTGCGGATTTAACCTGGAAATATTATGCATATGAGAAGAGTTTATGCTGTAGTTTTTATTATACCGAAAACCCAAACAAACATACCAAATCATTTTATAGCACTTTACAAAGAAGCACTTCATGGTAAACATGGTATCAACATGAAACTCCATGAAACCTCCATTAATACCACTGAATAATCCAAAACATATTTCTATTGTACTATGTCCTAAACCAGCCACTTGCCATTTTACCTTGTTCCTGTGCATCTCGTAGCAGTTTTTGTCCCATCTGTATTGCAGATATTTATTAACACAGGGCAAAATGGGTTGGTAAGCTTGATGTTGCATTACTTTACTTCACTATAGCCTGAATCCACCTGCACCAGAAGCCACAATGAACAGAGATAGGAGTTCAGCTTGAGTTTTGAGCCAGTCATGCGGTTGTTGCCATGGCAGCCATTCAGAAAGAAAGTGCAGCTTTGCTGGTCTACATTTATGAAACGATACTCTCAGAAACAGCCACTGTAAATGGGACCCATTCATTCAGTTTGATGAACATTTATTTTCCTAAATGTTTCTGCCTTTCCTAAGAAGTTAAAGCCAGCAGCTCCATTGAGAGGGCACCCTCACCCATTTAAAGGCTGGCCTACATAGTGTCCTTGTTCGATATGAATGTTCTGTGTCCTGCAGGGCTCTGTTGTTTTAGCAGAGCAGCATGCGTGGAAAAGCTGGAAACCATCTAAAATACTGTGTGATCCGAACAGAAATTAAGCAACCTTTTAATCTTGTGTAACATTTTAAGAGGTGGCACAGATTTATATGCAAGTAAAGGCTAATGCTATGTGATGTTTTTTTGTTTTTTATCTCAAGGACAGTGAGAGTGGAGATTTTCCCAGCGTCCACTGCCTTTGTAATTTGACATTCAGCTGAAGATGTGGGTGAATGTAAGTAGATTATTTCTGGTCACAATCATAATATATAATCTTAACACACACACACACACACGCACACACATATATATATATATATATATATACTAGCAACAGAAGGAATCTCCTGGAACAATGAAAATGATGGACTGGCCCCCTCAAAATTTGGACCTCAACCCCATCGAGCAAATTTGGGGTGAGTTGGATAATAAACTGGACAGATCTATTGTACATTCAAAGGAAAGCATTTGGGTTGAGTTGCAGAAGGCATGGGATAACATTAGTGTTGAAGTTCTCACGAAATATATTGACTATGCCAGAGAGATGGGCTGCTGTAATTGCTTCAAAAGGTGGACATACCAAATATTAAAGTTTAAAGTAGATAAAAACAGTATGACTCACTTCATCTGATACTTGTTGTGCTCAGAGCAACCATCTGCATGTTTTATGAACATTATAAACACACACACACACATACATGTATATATGTATGTATATGTGTGTGTGTGTGTGTGTGCATTTATATATACATATATCATTATACATATATTTATTTTGGATGTGATTAATCGATTTGACATCCCTAATTTTAATATTTTATTGGTATGTAGTGTGCCTTTCTTACACTCAGGGTGCTACAGCATGGTAAAAACATAATAATAAAATAGAAGAATAAAACACTAATCCAAATCAAAAGAAAAAATAAAAGAAAAAATAAGGAGAATTATAACTTAAAGACCTCACTAAAAAGATACTTTTTAAGTAATCTCTTAAAACAATCAAGAGCTGGATCATTCCTAATCAAAGAAGGCAATGAGTTCAACAGCCTTGGAGCAGTACAAGAAAAGGACTTCCTTCCCATAGTTTTAAGTTTATAATGGGCCTGAAAAAGCGTAAGAGAATCAGCAGAGTGGAGAGAACGAGCAGGTGTGGATGGTGTAACCAAGTTACAAATATATTCTGGTGCCAGCCCATGTACTGCTTTATTAGTTAAAACAAGAACTTTAAAATCAATACATGATTATGGAAGCCAGTGTAGTTGAAAAAGTACAGGGGTTATGTGTTCATGTGATTACATGTAGATCAATACACAAGATCTTAAAACAATCAAGAGCTGGATCATTCCTAATCAAAGAAGGCAATGAGTTCAACAGCCTTGGAGCAGTACAAGAAAAGGACTTCCTTCCCATAGTTTTAAGTTTATAATGGGCCTGAAAAAGCGTAAGAGAGTCAGCAGAGTGGAGAGAACGAGCAGGTGTGGATGGTGTAACCAAGTTATAAATATATTCTGGTGCCAGCCCATGTACTGCTTTATTAGTTAAAACAAGAACTTTAAAATCAATACATGATTATGGAAGCCAGTGTAGTTGAAAAAGTACAGGGGTTATGTGTTCATGTGATTACATGTAGATCAATACACAAGCAGCAGAGTTATGTATATGCTGCAGCCTCTTAATCAAATTTGCCGGTAGACCTGCAAAAAGTGAATTGCAATATTCAAGCCTAGATGTTATAAAGGCGTGAATAAGCCTCTCAGCATCAGGCATAGAAAGAAAGAGTCTTATGCGTGCAATGTTTCGCAGATGATAATAAGCTAATTTTGTAATATTTTTAAAATGAGTATTAAATCAACTGTGCATCAAAAATTACACTCAAGTTCCACACCTGCTCAGAAGGGGAGATCAGGCTGTCATCCACAGTCAGTTTGACTGTATTACATTTATTAACAGAAGCTGGAGTGCCAATTAATAAAATCTCAGTTTTAGAATTGTAGATCAATACACAAGAAGCAGAGTTATGTATATGCTGCAGCCTCTTAATCAAATTTGCCGGTAGACCTGCAAAAAGTGAATTGCAATATTCAAGCCTAGATGTTATAAAGGCGTGAATAAGCCTCTCAGCATCAGGCATAGAAAGAAAGAGTCTTATGCGTGCAATGTTTCGCAGATGATAATAAGCTAATTTTGTAATATTTTTTAAATGAGTATTAAATCAACTGTGCATCAAAAATTACACTCAAGTTCCACACCTGCTCAGAAGGGGAGATCAGGCTGTCATCCACTGTCAGTTTGACTGTATTACATTTATTAACAGAAGCTGGAGTGCCAATTAATAAAATCTCAGTTTAATTTAAGAAAGTTCTGTCTCATCCAGGCCTTTATTTCCAATAAACAAGCAGATAAAGTTTCAGGTGCGAGTGCAACATCAGGTTGAGTCCTAATATAAATACTATACT